GGACATCTGCATGTGGATTTGCTCGAAGCGGCCTAGCTCCTTGAGTGCCGGATCCTTCGCCCAAGGGCCAATGGGAATCTGTCCGACGTTAGTAAATCTTCCCGAGAAAGCAAACAGAGGTTCCAATTGACAAACTTACTCTGACCACTCTCTCTTGAACATCCTCAAATCCAGCGTCAATCATCCACTGCTTGTGGTGACGGGCGACATTGATGCGCTTGCCGAACTGCAGACTGGCCTCATCCAGCTTCTCGACCCACTCCTTGGTCCATGTTGCGCGTTCGAAGCTGTCGTCATCGCTAAAGATCCAGGCATCGTACTCTTGCATCTCGCAATAGGCGCCAGGCTTGAGGTGGGTGCGGATCTGGCGGTAGAAGCGCGCCCAGTCGTTGACGGTGCCAGACAACGCGCGACCGTGGACGTAGTCAAACTTCTCGTCGTCACGGTAGGTCCAGTTATCTTCGTAGTCGTCGACGTGGAAGCGGCAGTTGCCGGGTACCCAGTCGGGCTGGATGGGCGAAAGGTCGACACCAAAGACTGAGGCGCGAGGATGTTCGTCGGCCATGTCGATGGCCCAAATGCCGGTGCCGCATCCAAGATCGAGGATGCGGAACTCGCCGCTGATCTCGTCGCCCGGCTCGGGGATCTGGATGGGAGCAGTGTACAGGGAGCCCTGAATCAGCAGACGCCAGATGTGGTGCTGCAGGTCCATGCGCTCCTGTTCGTCCTCATCGTTGGGGAGGACGTATTGGCCCGAGCGGTACGCATGGTATCGTCTGCCGTTTTCGTAAACGTAGTTGGTGATGGAGGAGGTGATGGAGCCGGTCCGGGACGAGCCGCCGATGGAGGCGTAGGCAGAGTCGGCATCGGATCGGTCGTCTTCTGAAAGGTCCTATAGGGAGAGGAAGGGATGCTGGGTTAGTGATCCTAATGATACTTCGTTCCTTGGTATTGGACAGATTTAATTGAAGATACGTACATCGACCTGCAACGGGACGTGTCCCTCCCCTTCGTAATGCTCCTGGTTGCTCTGCTGCGTGGTATTTGTGGTTCCGGCGGCGGCGGCGGTGGTGGTGTTGGGATTAGTTGGTGCTGAAGATGCAGAAGGTGCAGGTCCAGAAGGGTCGGGAGTGGTGGCGGTTGCGGCCCCGCTATCAGCAGGTAATTTGGCGGGGTCGGACATTTCGGCCGGTTTTCTGGGTCAATATTATTTTTAACGACGTTGAAAAAAGGGCAAACCTGGAACTAAGTCCAAACCTTGACGGGAGGGAAGGAGGGGGAGACACAAGACGGTCGGACCCCAATTGACGGATGGATCCCCTTTCATTTGAACTACCGCTGAGCAAAACCAAACCCCTGGGACCAACGGGGTCGAGCCGGTCCTTTGCCCGAATCCATGCATCGTCGCCGACTGTTGTCGAACCACTATTCCACTGAGCCATTCTACTTTGAGCTCCGCTAGCCACACCCACGGGACGCCGAGCAACCGCTAAAGGTCCACTATGGACGCCATTATTCCAACGCTATCAAATATTTGATGCCATTTCCAGCACACTCTGCATCCGCGGTCCGAAGTGGGCATCTTAATTGGCGCCCAATATCATTCCAGGCTCCCCCACCCCCGAGTTCCAGCATGGGTCGTGATGGGTGACGGGGATTGAGGGGGGTCGAGAGAGGGGCACACCACCTGGGAAGAGGGGAGAGGGGGGGGAAGACAGACAGGGAAGCAAGGAGAGGCGAAAGAGGCCATCCATAATCCACTTAAAACTGAGACGGTGGATGTGCATGTGCATGTTTGTCTCACTCACCAATCTTGTAGCCGACAGGAAGAACCATTGGATCGCCAACCGAAGAAATGTCTGCAGCATCGTCAACCGAGAACAAGAAACTTGTGGTTGTTGTGGGCGCTACAGGCAACCAAGGCGGTTCTGTCGCCAGACGCTTCCTCCAGGACCCGCAGTTCAAGGTCCGCGGTTTGACCCGCAATGTCGCCTCTGAGGCTTCCCAAGCCCTCTTCGCCTTGGGCGCCGAGATGGTGACGGCCGAGCTCGACGACGTCGAGAGCCTCAAGAAGGCATTCGCCGGCGCCAACGTCATCTTCAGCGTCACCCAGTACTGGGAGCCCTTCTTCCGCCCAGACTGCCGCGCAAGGGCCAAGGAGCTCGGCATCACCTGCCGCAAGTATGCCTACGACGTCGAGTACCAGCAGGGCAAGAACATCGCCGACGCTGCGGCCACCGTCGTTGACACGCTCGATGACAACGGGTTCCTGGTATCGACCCTGAGCAACGCACGAAAGTGCAGCAACGGCAAGTTCCAGGACCTGTACCACTTCGACTCCAAGGCCGACATCTTCCCAGATTATGTCGCGCCCACTTATCCGGCCCTGGCGGCCAAGATGTCGTGCATCCAGACTGGCTTCTTTACCACCAGCCACAGGATCCTGCCCGACTCGTACTTTGCCAAAGTATGCCCTTTCTTGGTACTTTTTGTCTGAACCAAAGCTGACAATGTATGTGCAGCAAGCCGATGGCAGCTATCAGATGCGCTTTGCCTGCAACCCTGACGTCCTCGTTCCTCAGTTCGACGTCAACGCTGACACGGGTAACTTCGTGTACGCTGTCCATCAGATGCCTGCTGGAAAGGATTACATGGCTGCCGAGTACCTGAGCTTCAACGACTGGATCAAGACGTGGGCCAAGATTACCGGCGCCACTGTCAGCTATAAGGAGATTACTATTGAGGAAATGGTTGAGGAGACTCCCGATAAGGACTGCGGACTCGAGGTAGCTTTGATGTTTGCTTATTCCTCAGATCCCGGCTATGATGGCCGCATGGACCTGTTGAAGGCTGAGGATATCAGAAAAGTAAGTAGACTTATCCCTGTCTTTTTGACTCGATGGCGATTCTGAATGCTGACATGGCTCTTCAGGCTGGTATTGAGTGCCCAATGACGAGTGTGGAGGAGTCTCTGAGGAAGCAGGACTTTTCTGTCTATCTCAAGTGAGGGAAACTATAAATAACGTTTTAGCGGATCTAGGTAACACAAAATACCACGTGAGATATTCCATCTTTTGGTTTGCGGGTCCTGACCAAGGTCCTTTGCTTCAGCCGTGGCCAAGATTGGATAATGTGTTTTGATAACTAGGAGGGCATCATATCCGATTCCCCTTACAGATGGTGCATGTTTATTGATGCTAGTTGAGATATGGAAGTCTTCGGGAATCTGAGAGTCCAGACGAACAACATGATGTGGACATGTCTCAGCCCCAATCTGAGACTTTAAGGCAGACAGTACAAATAGGGTACCAAACGCTACGCAAAGAGAATGGTTCATGGTCCGTGCCTTTTCCGCGTGGCTTTTATCCTTAATTGATACGCTGTTGTTTATAGCGGGCGCCGTCTCATCTGGTTCGTCGCCTTTTAAACCCACCCAACGGCTGCTGCTGGTTTTCAAGAAATTCAACCTGCACCACAACGACTCGTCTCGCTAGCTTTCCTCCCTCCCCCCCGAAATCCATTTTTGCTTCGAATCGCCTTTCGTTGGAAATACACCAAAATGTCACTCTACTACAACTGATCGGCGATGGCAAACCTTCGAGAGCTTGCCAGTATTTTGGGCTACAAGTCTCGCGATTCGGAAGCTAAGCTTGAAAGACGCTTCGTGCGAATCATCGTTGATCCGGAACGGTATCCAAGGGATAAGGCAGGACGCGAGAAAAGGGAAAAGGTTGCATACCTACCTACCCGTGGACCGACCGATCCGCTCACTTGAATCAATTTGCTGACTGACGGGACCACATTTGAATTGCCAGGTTCATTATGCCTACAAGGTATTAAAAAGCAGGGCAAGAAAGATGGTACGTCGAAGAAAGATCGCGCCGGGTTTGATAACCTGGCTGAAAGCGCCATCATCGATCGCCTTGGCCAACACAGGGAAAGTGGGCATATACTCATTGGACAATGACATCAACATCAAGTACTCGATTATTTCTGCAGATGAAGTGCCTCAGCCTCAGTCAGAGATTCCGCCTTCACAAGTACAACAACCTCAAGAGCAGGATCAGCCACAGAGTCAGGCCTCATCATCTCAACCCCCATCACCTGCTCGCAATCGAAGGCACCGACTTGCCCTGGCCGACCGCAGCCGCATCCCCGTCAAAAGCAGCCCTATCGCATCCGTACTCGGACCCGCTCCCGTACATGTACCCAACACCCGCCCTTTAGACTTCCAACAGCCAGCTCAGGGACTGTACAGTCCTCTGCCGTTTGCTCTCACCACACCGGGGCAGAAAACAGGACCAAGGATGGATACCAATTGGCACAAGTGGGAAAAGCGTATCCGGGGGCTGGTCAGGCCGAGACTGGATGTAGCCAGGGAGAGGAGGAGATTGGAAAGGTTACGATTAGAACAGGAAATGTTGAGAAAAATGGATGAGGAAAGGATTGAGCGGGAGGAGCGGAGGAGAAAGGAGAGAAAGAAGAAGAGAAGTTAAAAAAGGAAATAAAAGGAGAAAAATAAAGAAAAGGATAAAAAAGGACAAGAGGAAGAATAGGGATCAGGAAGGAACGGTAAAAGGGGAGGAAGAAAAAGGAGAAGATAAGAAGTTAAAGAAGTCGGATAATACGGGAATAAGAGTTGAAGTATTCATCGAGTGGGCATATCTGTCTTTTCGCCGGTGGGAGTTAAGTCATTGCTCTAATATGGCCGCGTTATGAATCTTTACAACAAATAGATTAAATTCGACATCAGATCAAATGAAGGCCCAAAGTGACGGTTATGAGGTTTGAAGTTTGAGGTTCCAAACTCAGATTCCCCACAAACATTAAAGTCACACAATGATGCCCCCACTTAAATTTCTCCAAGACCCACATATTATCAAGGAAAGCCAGGAAAAGAGGAAAAAAACTGCAAATTCTTCGCCCAAAACTCCATCCGCCTACTCTTGAGCCATTTTCCCACACTGCTCCTCCATCATTTCTGATAGCCAGGTTGTTCCGCCCGGCTAGCTCAATCGGTAGAGCGTGAGACTCTTAAGGATCAAGATTCTCCGTAAATCTCAAGGTTGTGGGTTCGACCCCCACGTCGGGCTCAATTCCCGTCTTCGAACTGGCTATCCTTTTTTTCTTTTCTTTTTCTTCATTAGTTCGTTATATTTCTTCCCAAGGTCATGAACCCATCGCCTTCCACGGATGCCGTGGACTGACTGGCTCGTCGATGGAGGGCGCTGGTAATCATCATCCCGTCAATAAACCTCTCAGACCCCACGGGCTGTCACCACTGTCAAAATTCCGTCACGATAACTGGGTACTCGGGTTTTCAAGATCAGCGAGGCTGACAACCCGACATGCATGAGGTACAGCATCACTCGTTCTAGCATCGGTAACCGATTCCCAGGTCGACATGTCCTCTGCCGGCGTATCACAGGGAAGTCACTTGATATAGGGCTCTCACCTGCTCTCTCCAACCTGCTGCCACACTGTTGGGGCATACATTCACGAGAAAAGAAAGACATGAGAGTAGCAGTGATCGGCGGCGGTCCCTCCTGGATAGCGACTCTTGAGTATCTTGTTACCGCCCATCAGTTCCTTCCAGTTGAACCATTAGAGGTTATTCTGTTCGAGAGTGAGGATGACATTGGCGGGATGTTCGTGGTCAGAAGCTACGAAGACACCTGCCTTCCTTGAACTTGACGCGGACCGCCGCGAACACAACTCGTCAGCTGGAAAGCAGCTCACGAGCTTCTCAGACTTCGGTCCTCGTCCGGACGATTTCGACTTCCTTTCTGCAAAACGTCATGTCGAGTATCTCCGCGAGTACTGCGACAAGTGTAACCTTTGGACTCATATGAAGTTTGGCACCAGAGTCTCGCTAGCGACACGCAACGGAGATGACAAGCACAAACACACCGTTACATACCAACAAAGGTCGAGCGGCGAGAACTCTACATAGACTTATAACGCCATTGCAGTATACTCACCAACCAAGCAAATTGTCTTGCATCATCGGACTAGTTTCCATTTTACTCCAAATATAAGGTGAAGACCAGCAAAGGCGAAAACAGTTACTGACCGTGACCACTCTCAGAGAAACCTTAACCCAGTCCTCTTCCAGATATTTGGCGGCAAGCCAAACGGCAAGCTCACCGCCCCACTCGACAACGCACGCGCAAGTCTCTTAGACACAGCGTACGTCCAAAGCATTCTCTGGCTCAACATAGGCACGATAGGCCGTCTATACCAATTGGTCGGCTAACCATCCTAGGAAAGAACCATGTTAGTCTAGCCATAGGGCTTAGCCGATATTAAAACATGCTCAACCGAGGTTTACGGACGGGGGAACAAACAATACCTTCACAGTATAGTTATACATTTTGACGTTTGAAACAGGAATAAACCCCCAATCCAAGAATAAACCCGGCCGGAGCCATGTGTTCGGGTCCCACGTTCCCAAGACACCACTTGACAATCAGATCATCCACAGCAAACCAATCCGTTCACGTGGGGGCTCATTCGATCCATCCCCACCTGCCCAACTAATTACCACTTCACTCACTCTTGGGTTCTCTCTCTCTCTCTCAAAAAAAAAAAAAAAAAAGAAATATGAAAAAGAGCAAGAACTATCATTTTCCAAGAACAGAAACATCAGATCATTTCTATCTTTTTTTTACCGATAAGGATCATAATCCCTGAAAGTCAAGACTCAACAACCTGAACACCTGAAACCTTTAATTCCTTGATCAATCATCAATCATCCACAACCAATCACAACCCACCGTGTCAAACTCCATCTTATCAAAATTAAAACAAACAAACGAATTCAAACTTCTCCACAGTCCCCCGGATCCAGGAGCCCAGGCCCGCGGACCAAATTCCGGGAGGAGAAAGAAGTCCCCCCCCTGCCAAAAATTGAATCCCACAATTTACGTCAAACAATTTGGTTGTGCCCTGCCAGAGATATGAACGGCGGGGTAATTATACAATCCACGCGGTCGGGACCAGACTACTACTCTAGTCTGAATTTTAAGCGGGAAAACGTCAACTTTAGTGCGCAAACTTCGGTGGATCGCCAATGCATATCACCAATGTCGTCTGTCGGTGAGACCATTCGTGTTGATCCACCCAGCATACCTGGGCAGCGGAGGTTACAATCCGCGTGGCGGTGAGTTTGCTGGCCGTCTTGGGTCTTGGAGTGAGTGACTCAGCATGTTGGGAATAGGGTCATTTACGTGAATCACGTTTAGGTAGGGATTGAAGACTCTAGGAAGTCTAACTACTGGCCAAAAAAAAGTACCGGATGAAAACTGCTGAGCAAATCTGAATCCCCAAAAACAAACCCCCACAAGAAAAGGAAACGTGAAACGTGTCATCGTATTGAAATCCGGCAAAAACGGCAAAATTGGAAAGAAGAAAAACCAGCAGCCGCTTGGTCCTCTTCCGTAAAACAGAAAATAAAATAAAAAATCCATCCTCCCAAAACACGGGAGGCCCCGTTCATCATCAGGGTATCACATGCAACCAGAATGTTGCCTTAAACTCCCTTACAACAAAAGAAATCCATCCGAAAAAATGACTGTGTCCACCAAAATCCTATGCCATCTTATCCTTCCAAATAAAAGACAAAGAAAAACCACATAAGAAATGATGAGTAAAGAAGAACTGCCCGACGCCATCATCCTTAGTGCCAGAATGCCCTGATTCTGGCACTCAAGCTGCTCTCCCTTCGGTTACTGGCAGACCTGGTGACCTCAACACCTCCGAAGCAGGTGCACATCCTCTGGTCCCACAATCGGCGTGCCATCTCCTTCCTGACTGACAACCACTCCTTCTCCTCCCTTCTTTCCCGCAAAGCTCTCCTGGGCGACTTGAGGAAAGCTTTGGCAAACTCAACCCTCTTCCCTCGCGTCTTTTCATCCACCTCCGGATTCTCAGATGACATCCTCGCCGCGACTTGATACGGGAAGACGGCTTCGGGCTCTCCTCTGACCAGTGGCGAAGCAGGGTGATAATGAGCCCACAAGTCTTCAGGCAACCTGAATTCCCTCCTCATTTTGTAATCCTCTTCCTCCTCTTTTACCTTCCACCCAGTTGCCTTCTTCCCTTGGCTCACATAACTTCTTCCTCCGACCCAAGCCACAACTTCTCTCAATCCGTCGAATTGTTCCCTCAGTCTCTCCTCCACGGCTCCAAACAGCCTGGCTCTCTCAGCCTCTGCCGCTTCAGAGCTCCCAGAAACTCTGAGCCCGAACCTCTCGCAATTCATGACTCCCAAATCCAGCTCCACTCTCTCCAAGCCAGGACACCGGGCCCGGAGCGCATCGAGTAACCCTTTCCCGCCGCCGGCCAAACTGAATGGCAAACACTCAAACGGAAAGGGAACCCCAAGACTCTTGATGCAGCCCGCATTCCGACTTCCTACTCTGTCGATAAACCATCGCACCAAAAAGTTGATTTGGGCTTGGTGAGGTAGCCGGGTGGAGTCCGTGGGAAGGACAAAAGTGTTGTACGAGTAGAAGAAGGATGATGCTTCGAGATGAACTTGCCGGCAAACCAGGAAGAGCGACAACAGCCGTGATCGGAGTGATTGTGTTTGAGTTGCTGGTGACTTGTGGGATGGCGAGATGATGATTGGCGAAGAGGAGAGGAGGAGCTCAGCGTAGATTTGGTTCCGGATCTCTCCTGGGGCGGAGAGGAGGAATGAGTCCAACCCTTTGGTCCGTGGTAATGATGGACATGAAGACATTGTTGGTGATGATTTTCGTGGGATGTTGTTGTCAGATGGTGTTGGTGGTGTGGTACAGGTGGTTTATCATTCAATGACCCCGCACTTCGATTGATTGGTGGAGAGGTTGTCCCCTGTTGGTTACTCGAAGCGAGAGTGAGTGATTCGGGGGGGAAGTCACTGTAGCTTGTCTTCGTGCGCTGTGAAGCTTGAAACAAAACAGAGAAATTGAAAAAAAAAAAAAAAGAAAGAAAACTCAAAGGAGGGATATGGACAAAATAAAAACGAATGAACGGGTGCATCTTCCGTGAATGGGCTCGTCTGTGCGCTCCATATCAAAAAGACCGGGCCGAAGTTGTGGTTGGGAACGATCAATGCAACAGCGCGGCGCAGGGGGGATCGCGGAGCTGGAATCGCTGGGACTCGTCCGCTGGACCCTGAGACTCAACGGGGCTTGATTGGCCCAGCCTTACCAAGACGACCACGGACGTCTCCATCAAGGCCCAGACCGCGCTAGCTCCTTCAGCGCAACCAGGGCACCGTAAACGGAGACTCGCAGAATGTGGAAGCTGCGAGTGAGACAGGAACATCAACACCTTCCGAGTCTGATGTCAAGTTGATGTCAATTGGTCTTGGCCACTATCAGATCATTCGACCCTCCTTTTGGGAAACAATCCCGCGAGACTTGCCCAAAGAGGCCAAGAAATCTGAAAAATCGCCAAAATGGCGTCAGGGAGACGGCGCGGGACAGCGGCGGGGAGCCGAAGTGGCTTGATCCATCCCATTCTCCGAATCCCCAAAACTTGGACGAAGGAAAAAGGGCTGACAAAAAACGTGTGGTCAAATTCGGTTGTGATATGCAATCCGGAATGGTTCTTGGGCAAACTTGGCAAGTGCAAGCCCGCCACGTGGAGGCCGGCAGATTCCACTGAGGTTTGCTCCTTCATTCAACTCAAACTCAACCTTCAAAAACTTGCAACAAAAGGAGCAGAGAAGCAGCCTGCTTAGATAGCACAGTGGTTAATGCATTGCACTTGTATTTGCAACTTCCTGTCAATCGTTCAATCCCGATTGTCTACACTGGTGTGGATGGCCACACGACAGGTCAAGGACGGTGTGGTTGTATCCGCCAATGGTTGCTCAATAATTAAAATGCAAAGATCACAGGTTCAAATCCTGTAGCAGGCAATCCCTTTTCTGCATCTTCTCTCTTCTTTGAGTGAGACAGACAGACAGACAGCAACCAGCCGCAGCTTCCCGATTCCCGTCCGACTTCCGTGGACAAGCATCTCCCCTGCCCTGCTGCCCATCACAATCAAACATCACAAAAAACAATAGACCCCTCAATATCTTTCTTTTTCTACTTTTGTTTCTTCTTCATCCCCAGCGGAGACGATGTGGGAGAGAACAACCATTCCTACCGTTGCCAAGTAGGTAGGGAAAGTCCGGTGCCCAAATGGGCCTGGCACGAATCCCGCGAAACAAGGGAGAGGGGAGAAGGGAGCTAACGGGAAGCTGCAGGGAACTAGGGGATGTGATTCGGGTAGCAATCATATGAGGACGTGCATATCTAAATGAGACCCCTACTGCAAGTACACAGTAGATATTCACACCTTCCAACCTGTGTATATCCCTCATTCTCACACGCACGGACCGTATCATGTATGTTCCTATCTATTCCCGGTTGTTATTTCCCGTTCTGGGATCTATCTATCTCAATAACTTCCCAGAGGTCTGAAGACTCACCCCCCACGTACAGGCAAAGTGGCCTGATGGCAGCGATAGTCGCTTGGAATCATTATTATCATTATCTTTCCCCGTCTAAAATTAAAACAATTATTCATATATGAGGCAAAAAGTTCTGCCACTGAGGGGTATCATAGCACCCCTTCTGAAGCGACCTCAGACTCGCGAACCCCTCGACGATGAGATAAAGCCGTCCGAGCACCATGGCCAGGACGAAGAAATACTGAGCGTACCGGATCGGCGCCCAGCTCAGGTTCGTGTGCTTCAGGGAAAGAAAACGCCTGTGGATGGCGCCCAGGCGCTTGAGGACCGGCTCGATGGTCAGGAGCATGTAGACGGGCCAGACCGTCGTGACGACACTTGATACCCTCCAGAGGGTGGATTCCACTTCGGTGGGGAACTCGATGTTCCATGCCAGGAAGTGCAGTGCGCCAAAGATTGCGCCGAGAGTAAACGTGAGACAGGCGTGGAGTTTGGTTTGTGCGTGGAGGTGCAAGTCCCCGGCGCCGCTCCAGTGTCTGGTTAGTTCCTCGTCCCGGTTCTTGTCAATGTCGAGTTCTTTTGTCATGAGACCCCACCACTGGTCTCTGTTTTCCGTCACGTTTAGCGTCACCCAGTATTCCACGTCGCACGGCTTCTCCCACCAGAACGCATAGGTGACGAGACAGATGAGGGTGAAGGACAAGGTGGTGATCTCGAGCGGTGAGACGGGTAGGTGTTGGGCAACTCGGGCGACGAGCTGGGTGAGGAACCACCCACACTGGATGCAAGCCACGAGTTTGACGATCCCGTCGGCTTTGCTGCATCGCATGATTGCTTTCTGCGATAAGGCGCTAAACGGGCTGAAGCGTGCCTCCTCGGGGTCTTTCTGCTTGATCTCTGGCATCTTGTCGATGAGACCGGCTTTGAGAAGCCAGTAAAGCTCGTTGATGCGGATTGCGATGATCTTGTCGTCGGGGGTTTGAATTCGAAAACCATTCATGCTGGCGAAGAATCCATGAGTGACGGTCCATTCCTCCAATCCCCTGATGGCGCGGAACTTCTTGCGGTATCGGAGAGCGTTGGTGCATTGCTCAATGGCGACCGCCGTCATGTACTCGGGCAACAATAAACAAAACGCGGCGAGTCTCAACCGACGCGTGTTGATGTTGTGCCACCCCTTGTAGTGAGGCCAGATGATATCGGCATGTTGGACCGTCCAGGTCGAGATGATGAGCGTTGCGAGACAAGTCCAGAGGAGGTCAGCGGTGCCTCTCCCATCGGGACTCTCGAACCAGCCGACGTGTTGGTCTTGGTTCGAGATGTCTTGGCTCATCCCTCATCCCCTCTTGCAGGTTGTTGGAGCATCCGAAAGGGGAAAGAGTGTAGCTCCGAGGAGTAAAGTTTGTTGAACGGCCTTCTGCATGTGCCAAGCAGGGTAGAGGAGCCGAGCAGCTTTTTGGGATTCGGGAGGATGATGGGAGAAAGTCTGGAAAGCCGAGTCTAAATCAGAAACCAACATGTGTTGCGCAAAATGCGGCGAAGCAGCCTTAAGAATGGACCCAGGACGGCGCCTCGGGATAATCCGCCTGGCCCAACGACCAACGAACAGCCTTAAATGGGGACCCCTTTTCGAAGATGATTCTCCAAATGGCCCATCCGACCGCCAATCGACCACAGAGAAGCCATCCCTTCAGCCCTAGCGCAGGGGGAACCTGGAAGTCAGCGACTGCGATTGAATCACGGCGGTTGCGATGAATCCTCCCGGGCGGTTATGCGAGCGGCCATGTGCCATAAGGGTACGACGGTAGGAGCTGGCCCCCAATCCCGGGGAGTATCAACCAATCACAACCACTAAGCGCATCATCTTTCTCCAGACATTCATTCTCGGGTCGCACAACCAGAATGATCAACCACTGAACCTTCTGCACCCCGCTCTGATACATAATAGGAGACATTTTTCACCCCCTTTAACTTCTTTTGTTTTTCCTGTCAGACGCATCACACATACGCGGAACTCCGGGAATGGCGGCATCTTTGTATCTCGTGCTTGCATTGATACCCCTCATTCTTGCGTTTGCCCAGCGATCCAAAAAGATATTCGTGTTTGCATCATTTCACGACCATGGCATCAACAAAGGTTGTGGGAAGATTTACATGCTGCCCAACTCGTGGCTTCTGCCTTTCGGTCTCGATAAGCTTGCCAAGTCGTTAGCAGCGGAGAAGGAGAGAAAACTTCCGGTCTTGTCTCTGGAGGAACATGAAAAGTATGGAGACACTTATGCTCAGTATGCCGGTGGCCTCTTTACGATTCTCACCCGTGACCCACGCAATATCGCGGCCCTCTTGGCAAAGCAGTTTCCAAACTTTGGGTACGGGCCCATCAGGCACAACTGCTTCGCTCCGCTGCTGGGAGACGGTATTTTCACTCTTGATGGACCGGCTTGGGAGCATTCACGGAAGCTGCTTGCCCCCATTTTTCATAAACCGAACTTTCCCGCCCTCCAAACCGTTGAAGGTCATGTCCAAGACCTATTCTCGGCCATCCAAGCCCAGGGCACCGCAAAGGATCAAGTCTGGACCCAAACCGACCTCCGCCCCTTGATCTACGACTTCACCCTCGACACGGCAACCGACTTCTTTCTCGGGAAATCCACCCACCTTCTTAGGTCTCGCTACCAACCACCACTAAAAGCCAACACCAAGCCCGGCGCTGGCTCCATCTTCTCATCAGCCTTCAACGCCGCTGTATCGTGGACCGCCACCCGAGAACGCTTCAAAGCCTTCTACTGGCTCGTCAACCCTGCCGAGTTCCGCTCCTCCTGTCTCTCAGCTCGGCAATCACTCGAAGCCATGATCCGGGGCGGCCTCACTCACGACTCCAAGCACAGTGCTCTGTCCGACATTTACTCAAAGTTGGATAGTTCGCTTGACAAAACACGAGACGAACTCATCAACCTCATCTTTGCCGGCCGCGACTCGAATGCGTCTCTACTCTGTTGGGTGTTTTACGCTCTCGCGCGGGAACCGGGCGTTTATGCTCGTTTGCGGAAGGAGGTCGTTACAGAGTTGGGCGACAAACAACCGACCAAGAAGGATATTAACGGATTAGAGTACCTAGACTGCGTGGTGCAGGAAACCTTGAGGCTCTTCCCTGCCGTTCCGATCAACGGGCGATTATGCGTCGGGAGCGACACGACATTACCCGTCGGTGGAGGTGAGGATGGAGAGCAGCCGGTGTATGTGCCGCAGGGAACCTTGATTTGTTTTTCGACTTATGGGACCCATCGGTCAAGGAAATTGTATGGTGAGGATGTGGGTGAGTTTAGGCCGGAGAGGTGGATGGAAGGGAAGGGGGCAAAGGAGAGGGGGTTGGATTACAGTTATCAACCTTTTAGTGCTGGGCCGAGGAGATGTTTGGGAGGTTAGTTTATCTTTTTTCCGAGGACGTGATGACAAAATGTGAGCTGACAGGAAGACACAGAAAATTACGCGTTGACTTTGACAAAGTATACCGTTTGTCGGTTGGTTCAGAGGTTTGCGGGTGTCAGGCCTGCGGAGGAGGAAGGGGAGGACTGGCAGAGTAAGATCAAGTACCAGATCGGCTTGACGATGGCGCCGGATGCTGGAGTTTTGGTCAAGCTGTCGGCATGATTTTAGTGACATCAGTTGGCATGTTTGTTCAACCCCACCTTTCCATTCCCTCACTGCAACGAGAAAAAAAAACTCTAAAACTGAAATTCGACAAATCAACTTAAAATCCTCACACCATCTCAGTGAACCATCCGGGTTTAAGTTTGCCCCTCGTCATCCGCGGTCCAGATAAGATGCGGGGAAGCTGGAGCCCGGCAGCTATCCTCTCTCCACAATCCCCAGATGCCGGAGTGGAGACCTCTGGGATCCGATTGCCACAGGCTGTCCCCCGTTCCCCGAGCTCTGCCGGTTGGGATCCAGGACGGCGGGACGGACCTCGGATTCGCGCGAGTTGCAACTTCGCGTTTGAACCGCGGGGCGAGACCCCGGAAAGATGATGAATTTGAGTGGAGATATCTGTTCAAGTTAAAAAAAAAAAAAAACTTAAAGTTGACTCCTCCTGTTCATGGTGTTGGAAGTGTCGATCTTTGAAGACTTCTGGAAAACCCCTTTCGGCCCGTTTTACTCAACGACGACCACGATGACACCCGACATCCACACCCCCGTCCTCATAGTAGGCTCCGGCTCCGCGGGCCTCTGCGCTGCGTTGTGGCTCTCACGGCTTCAGGTTCCATACACCATCCTCGAGCGACGAGATGGCCCTCTTCAGATCGGCCAAGCAGACGGCGTACAAACTCGGACTGTGGAGATCTTCGATTCATTCGGCATCGCTGAGCCATTACTCAAGGAGGCTTATCATGTTTTGGAGATCGCATTCTGGGCACCAGACGGGACTACCCAGGAAAAGGGCATCAAGAGGGTGCGGTATG